CATTGTTTTTGGCGTTTAATATTTACATAGAGAATCCATTTTTCATCACCGTGACAATTCTGTCCAAAAATTGTTCATGTGCATTACGCGCCAGAAAAGACGAAGCAACGTTCACACGTTGGAAACGATGATCATCGGAGAAATCGCGAGGCACCCAAGCATCTTCTTTATGGAGTTTCCCATATTACTTTGATGTGTATTGTTTCATGATGGACATGCAATTTTAGGGCCATTTCACGAGTGTGTTGCCTTGGGTTAGATTCAACAAGCGTCTTCAGAGCATCAATATTAATTCCAATATGTCGGCCTCTGCCATCACAGTTTTTAAGGCTAAAGTCACCTGAACGAAATTTGCTGAACCATCGTTGACACTTACGAAAGTTCAGAACATTTCCACAAACTTCTTTGATATTCTTTATAACTGCAGAGGCGTTGTTTCCCTCCTTATATTCAAACAGCATTACATGCCGAATGTGTGTCTCGTCGTATGCCATCACTATAAGGGATTAGAGTATACTAAACTTAACACATCATATAGGCTACACTAACGTGAGGTTTAGGCGGTTCGTTTAACTTTTATACGTGATGTACGTTTCTGAGGAGGTAATTAATGAAAATGTTACAAAACGCAACATTAATTTCTTGACGACCTAACAGTTTAAAGCTTAAATATTATGCAAAGTTAAAGAGTTACATGCCTATAGAACTATCAAAACTAGTGAGACAAAAAACAAACAAACAAAACTTTGCTCAAATTTTAAGTTTGGGAAATTAATTAACAAAATACAGGTAACTGTTTAAATAAATATGTTATTCTTTTTAAGGTTTATACTTTTTTGGCCCTAACGCTTCTGAACAAATTTATCAGAATAAAACGACTAATTTGTATTTAGTACATTAAAGATTAGGAAATAAACTGTTTAGGTGAATATAATATGTATTATATCAAGATGATAAAATACATTAATACTGACAAAAACCTGTACATTCCTCTAAAAAGTAAGATTATTATTATTATTTAGAGTGAAAAGTAATTTAATCATTTTACATAGGTAAAAGGTATTATCAAATATAATTGTACAAAAAAATAACGATTTTTCATTTTTGTTGGGCTTAAAATTTTAATCATATGGTGTTTTGACGATTTCTTTACATGTTTAGGCTTGTGACGGTTGTCAAGTTCAACCATGTATTTGTGTTGGAGAGAAAGGAATTACTGTAAGTATCACCAATAATGTGTATTTCAACTGTATAATGGATTGAGTATATTTACAAATAGATCACTTTTTGTACATTGCTACTTTTATTTTATTTTAATTCAGTCACTTTAATAAGTTAAAGCAATTTTACATCATATTTCAAAAACTGATAAGATCATGTACCTAATTTATATTTGTTTCTCACAAAAATAATTATAATATTGAGTATTACACCTGTAAAACTGCAGGTTTGTGTTTTAAGAATCTGACATGAATGCTGTGTATTTCATCTGTAAATATGAAACTTGATTCTTTGTTTTGTTTTCTGTAGAAGTTGTTGGAATGGTGTTTAATTTACCTGTAAAATATCACTCTCCTTTGTTTCTTACAATATTGCTAGAATGTTGTAATTTCTTTGCCTAATCATTGCTACTTTCTTTGCTTCTTCCATATTTGACTGGTTGTTTATTAAAAACATGAGTAGGTTTCTTTGCTTTGTTTTTATGAACTTGAGTAGAATGTTCTGTATTTTATTTTGTAAAAGCAAAGGTATTTGCCTTCAATCTAAAAAAAACAAAAACATTTACATATTAATAAACTTTATTTTGTACTACATTCCTTAAACCCGAAAAAAATTCTATTTTTAGGGGCACCCAGGCCTTTCAGGTCTCCAAGGTCCACCAGGCCCTCCAGGTCTTATAGGAGAAGAAGGATCTTATGGTCCTAAAGGTCCATTTGGTGACAGAGGAAGTCCAGGGGATGCAGGCCCAAAAGGCATTAGGGTGGGTTTATAAACTTTGTTTAAATATTTTTTATGTTACTAAAGCTGTTAGAAGTGCTAACTTTTAGTACACAGTTTATAGTTTGAAGACAGTTTAAAACTTACTAATAAATTACTTTTTTTTCAAGAAAATACTCATCCATACAGATACCGTATAGTAACTTGTGGTGTCAACATGTTACTTATTTATACTGATACTAAAGTAAATGGTACTTTTAACATACATTACTTGTTCATAGATTTTACAGTATATTGCTTTGAACATGCTGCTTAATTGCTCTCATAATAGTACCATCAACAGACTAGTTGCTTCTATAAAAAAGTATATAACAAGTAATTTAACGGTATTTTTAATTGTTCATGAACATGTGGTATAGTAAATAATATTGTTAGCAGAATGTTCTAAACATAGCCAGTATATGATACAGTAGATTTATTTACTAAATTATGAATTACACCATGAATTGAATTCCCAATTTTTACTGCAACTTTTTCAAGATGTCATATTTTTATTTTATACATGCAGGGTGAACAAGGTGTTCCAGGATTCATAGGCTCTAGTGGTATTCCAGTGAGTTAGATTACGTATATCTATAATATCTAAGTCATTAATGTTTTAGAATAAATAATGACTGTGTTTTACATAAATAAAGTACAATAACTTTAGTTATGAATTTTTTTTTAGCTTTAAGCAGAAATAGTTTCAAGATTACAGGTGGTTGACTTTGTTATGTCGCATGATTTTACTGTATCCTTTGCTTTTTGATATACCTTATAAAAAAAACTCTTAATATAAAGTCTTGTTTTGATAATCAAGCTTGTATTTGGTATAAAAAACTGAACATGATTGTTTATATGAAATTGTGTTTACTATGCAAAATCTAATTTGAAATATTTTTTTTTATAAATCACAATAATAAAGAACATTATATTGTCCAAATAAAGAGTGTAAAAAGATAAGTACATAAAGTTAAAAGGGAACTTACAAAAAGAGATTAAGAGCTCCAGACATTATTCTAGTAAAATTTTATCAACTGTATTTCTATTTCTATTTGGGTCTCAGTGGTTGAATGCAAAGTATAATATTATATGATGTCTTTTTTCACTAATTTTATGAGGTCTCTTAATTTAGTATAACTAATGAGTCTAGATTTCACTAATGCAATTATATGGTGTCTGTGAAACACCAAATGCTGATTTCAACAATAGAAACAATTACTCACATAGCTGTATTGTTGTTCAGTTTATTAGTATTTATCATTTATAATATTAGTTATGTATACATCAGTAATCTAAGGGATTAGCATTTTGATATTTATTTTACACAAATATTGTGTGCTTGTTGCTTTAGGGTTTACCTGGAGAAGAAGGATCAAGAGGGGAAGATGGATATCCTGGATGTAATGGTACTGATGTGAGTAGCAACAGCAGTTTGTTTATTACTTACAACAAAGTGTAAGATTATTCAGCTTTTCTGGTTATAATAAAGTATATATTTGATTAAACCTAATATTTATAATAAAGTTATGTTAACAGTAAATGATGTTTTTTTAATAAAAGTTCCTCTTAATTTGTCAATTTTATATTCAGAATCAGAGACGTGTGAATATAGCATTTCAGCTTTTCATTCATTCATTCAGTATCAGAATTCATCAGTTAGGCTGGATGATGAGAAATAAGAGATTATTTGAAAAACTATTTATATATGCATTATAATACTATAAAAGTTACAGTTGAAATGGGGAAAAAATATATACAGTTTATGTGATTTTTATCAAAACTTTTAAGTGTGTTGGTTTCTAATGTTTCTCCAGCTTTCATAGTTTTACATACTTGATTAATTTAAGTTCTGGAAATAATTAGATTATAAGTTATCAATGTTGTAATGTCAGTTGTTGTAAAATGCCTTACTAGCAGGAATTAGTGGGATAATCCTTTAGCTCAGTTATTAGAGCATATGAGAAAACATGGGTTCAATCATACTTGTAGGAGATGTAAAAATTGTACCAACTGACACCAAATGATTGACTATCCTATAACTCTGAGATAAGGCCTGGTGATTGATTTTGTTGTGAAGAATGGAAGAATGTAGTAGTTTGAATTGTTAGGTTTGGCTTGTTTGTGTTAGTAATTTGAAATGGGTTGTCTGTGCTTTGTCCACCATGGGGAACTGAACCCTGGATTTTAGAGGTGTACCTTTAATCTACAAACAATAACTTGTGATTTAAACTTTCATTTGATAGATCACTCACCTAGTGTGTGACACTTGAATTCACTAATAAGGCACCAATGAGGGTGTCTCAACATAAAAGCAATACCTTCATTTAGAATGTCACTTTTTCAGAGCTTAAATTTAGACCTATGTTGCTTGCAACTAGCATACAAGTTTGGTAGCAAAATTCAAAGAACTAATTTTTTGACAGGCTTACAAAGGAGTAAAAATTATACATACATTACTGATGCCACCTACGAAATACTAAATTTTCTAGAAGATAACAGTGTATACATCTAAATTACGTTATAAGTGTCAGTTATATTAAGATAACAGTGTGTACATCTAAATTACCATATAAGTGTCAGTTATATTTCATTAGGAAATAACTTGTTTGGTCATTCTGCGAGAACATTTTTATCTATCTAGTTTCTTCTTGTTTGTAGACATCTTTAAGAAGCTGATGCATGATCATTGATACATTAGTGACTTTTCAGAAACGTACCACATAAGATGACAATCATGCATAAAGTGCACAAGTGAAAACTTCTTAAGAAGGGTGTATACATATGGTGTTTCCACAGGAAAACGTTTTTCTTGAAGTCTGTTTGTGTTTCTTCTATTATATCGGTCTTTATCATGCTCCCTTACAGCATACGACAAAGATTGATACATATGATACTTGCCTTGCAATCAATAAAAAAGGCTTCTGGAATTCAACTATATGTGTGCAAATCAGGTTCTCTCCAATATTGTTTTTTATTTTGTGTAGGGTAAACATGAAGATAATATTCTGTCTATATCTAAAAAAATTATACCTACGTGACCAATACTTATAGTATCAAAATATTCAAAACTAATACACAAACAGAAGTGCTAGTTTTTTTGTCTCAGAAAGTCGTTTTGACCACCATTTCTTGAAATCAAGCTGGGTAGAATTATGACTTAAATTTATCGTACTTATTGCCAGAATATCAATTGATTCAGTGACATGCATGCAATGGGCTTGTAAATAGTCACTTATTACTGTTTGTGCTCTCACGTAGTATTAAAATGGCACATGTATGTAGTTGATAGCACAGTAATGTAACGATACATATGTACGTTACCAGTGGTAATATATATACCGTTCTTTTACTAAAGGTATATTTTCTAAAAAAGGTGTTCTGTCCAAATTTTCTGCAACATTTTCTACTGTTCATACCTATGTATGTTAATGGTATAGATGAAACAAATAAATGAAATAAAAGTATTGTGTCAGACAGACACCTAAAGATTTTTTAATGTTATGTGTTTAACAGATATTAGAATACAAAAATGGTCAAGTGTCATTGTCTGTCAAATGATTTTCCATAAATTTTGTACCTATGGAAATAACAAGCACCAAATGAAATGTTCTAGAAAGGTTGAGGTACTACATACTAAACTCTGTTCTGAAGCACCAATTCAACCAATAGTTCATAATTATTTTTTCAAGTTTCTTAAAATTTCCATTGGTGTCTTATTAGTGAAGTTGAGTGGTGAGAGGTCCTTGAATCAATCCTGCACACAAGAGATATAAATATTAGATTACCACTCCAGTACAAGTATTTTTCAAACGTTCTAAAAATAAAATATTGGTGAAATCTAGATTTTCATATCTTTTTTTTTTTTCTAAAAATCAATCCATAAATATACTTTTACAAGATTTAACAAGAAAAGTGACATAACATTAGGGGTAAAATTCTTCTGATACTTATTATTGTGGCTTATTTTCATACCATTATTCAGGATCGAGACTTACTTGATCTGCTTTCATTCAACCTGCATGCCTTCCATCATACTGTCAGAAAGGAGACAAATCATAACACTCAGAATCTAAACATTCATTAAATATTCTTCAAATGAACCAATAAATAATCTAATGAAATTAGTTGTCATTGGCAACAAAATCATGAGATTGTTTATTGGTTCATTTGATTGTCTCATTTAGCTGTGTTTTGTATGATTGGTCAATAGTGATAAATATATCCAAATGACTTATTCATTGTGATTGATACCTGCCCTTGATATTAGTGGATATAAAGTCTTTGTCAGTCATTGGAATGAGAAGTCAAAAAATAAAGGACACTTTATGTAAGTTTACCGTTACAAAATGTTTAGTTTAGTTGCTGGTTTAGTATATATTTGTTTAAAACCATGAAAAAAACAGTGGTTGTATGTGTTTTTTTTTTTAATGGAAACTATATTATATATTACACATACAAGCAAAATCACTTGTTGTATACACATATAAGTACCAGCACTTTTTTGTTAAAAATTTCACCCCTGCATGATATAACATATTTAATGCATAAAACTGAGTGTTACGTCATCAAAGTAAACAATTCTCCATGAAGCTTTTAAATATTGTAAGGAGGACCGATGGATACAAGACGCTTGAGTAGGTTAGCCTCCCTAAATAAACCATCCCTCATGGGACATTATTCTCACTCAAAAAAATATATTATACAGTATTTGTGGAGAGGTAGGGAGATCAAAAGAGAGTGTATGTGAGTCACTGAGAAGAGTTTATTGATTTAAGAGCACAAACTGATCCTTCCACATGTGACAGAACAGCCTACCCAATCAGAATGCTCGCCACCTATGGTTGGAAGAAGAAAGTTACATATTTTGTACATTTGATTAATATAATAACTTTTTTGTGGTCTATTATGCTATAAATTTAGTTAAAACATTTTTTTTTACTCTTAATAGAATGCATATTTAGTAATACTAAATTTGAAATAATTTATTCAGTAGTTAATATTGTACTGTAGGGAAAACCAGGACTGCCAGGTTCTCCAGGAATACCAGGCTTGCAAGGTCCACCTGGTCCACCTGGAGATTATGGAATGAGGGTAGGTCATTCAATTGTTTTTTGAATAATATTAATGACAGTATGCCATTGTGATTTTGTGTTGTTGTTTTTTATAGAATGACTTGTTAAGTAGATGTTTATTCTTTATTTACTGTGAATTATGTAATTGATATCGAGAACTCATGAGAAAATTAGAAGCAAGTAATATATTATTTTGAAAACAAAGTCAATTTTTTATTGATGACATAAAAACCCTTTTCTTTTACATTTTGCATACAATAGAAAAAAAAATTTAACTTATATGTGTTCTAAAATTCGTTCATTTTTTCTAGGAAATTTCTAATATGATTTTCTGAAGGTAATTTTGAGGTAAATGTAATAGTTAATGTCTTAGAAAGTTTGGGCTTCTGAAATGTACATTTTCAAAGTCATTTTCCTTCCACATGTTAAAGGGGAGAAATGTATTATAATTTTGAGAGTAACTATATTTTTTTCATTTTGAAACTGGAATTTCAGACTTCAATATACATATATATATATATATACATATTTATGCATATTTTATATTATAGAATATAAAAATAATAAATAAAATTGAACACAGTAAAGATAATAGATTGGTTTTCTTCAGGGTGATCCAGGTGAGGGAGGTATTAATTCTCTAGGGATCAAAGGTGAACCTGGTGATGATGGCCAACCAGGACTTGTGGTAAATTAAGTGTTTTTTTTACTAATCTTGATTATAATGAACATTTAATTATGAATTGTTGTAAGACTTGTAGAAATATGATTAAGTGAGACATATTCTTAAGCTGTGACTTGGTACGTTATGCAATTGATCTTGCTAGACCATAGGACTAATAGAGTATGAATATGTTACTCACTATGAATGTAGTAATAAATATGTCCATGGATAGTAGACCTTGGAGTCTTTTGTGTAGAACATTCTCTTTGACTAAAATTAATAACTTAAGATTTCATGTTATGATTTATTTATGTGCTTATATCTGATTTTTCCTAGGGTGAGCGTGGACTGCCAGGATTTCCAGGAAGTAAAGGACTCCGTGGACCTCTTGGTGTTCCTGTAAGTTGTAAAAGGACATTTTTATGAACAAAATAGTGAATTACACCTTAATTATTTATATAATTAGTGTTATTATAAAATTAGTTGTAACGTTCATCAGAAAACTAATCAACAGAGAGCTATAATATTTGGTTGTTGAACTGGTGAGGCAATGGTAAAGATGACTCCAGTGCCAAAAATAATGATCACCAGAGGTGCTTATCACAAAATTTGCACAGCCAAAATGTTAACGGTATTCAATTTTACCATCATTCATATCCAGTATTGCTTTTATTTGTGACAGAGGATGTGATGTACAGCGGAATGATACTCTACTTTCAAAATTTGCACTTTACTTGGTTTTGTATATTATCTTTCAGGTCTGTCAAGGTAATGGTTTCATCATATTCAATCACAGACTTAATGTAGCCCCATAAGCAAAGATTAACAATTGTAAGATCAAAAAACCTTGTTTTTCATGTTTGTGGAAAACATCTTCTGATTACTCGATCCATGAAAGCATGTTCCACCATTGTTTGGACAGTTTGTGTAATGTGGGTGGAGCCAAGTCTTGCATTTGAGACTGTTTCATTCGAAACTCCTCCTTATATCAACTTTGTTTATAAGCTTCCCATAAATTTCATTGCTGCAAGGTCCTCTTCAATTACCATTTTCATGTCGATATTACCTTAATTTTCACCAGCATTATTACCAAGGTTGTAATAATGCTTTAAGAGAACAATTCTAATGTTCAGAAACAAACTAAGAGGAATAATTTCTAATGGTAGAACAAATCCTGACATGTTTAATGTTGCCTTTATACAGTCACAGTATGAAAATTGCACTAGAGTACCACTTAGTAAGAATTATCTTTGATACTAGAATCATCTTTCTCATCATCTTATTACCTCATCTACCAACTATTTTAGCTTTCTGATGATCAGTTATTGAATTATGGATGGTAGAATAGGTCAATGGAACTGATGATAGCCATGTATATTCTGATTAAAAATGCAGAATATTTATCTTAGTAAATGCTGTAAGTGCATATTGAACAGAAAACATATTTAATGAATTTATCTTGGCAAATAAATCCAGAAATTTTTTTCAAGTATATTATAGTGTTAAAAATATGAGTAAATATATATATATATATATATATATAT